TCCTGTGGCACATATGCAGTGTTCAGAATCCTCATAAGGGTATTCTGATGTGTCTCAGAGCACAGTAGTAATGATAAAATTGATATTTTTGACAGGGTTTGTTGTAGATGGTCCACAATCTTGTAATTGCTTTTTCTAATTAAATGCATGAATTCTTCAGCGTCTTTCAACAAAGCGTTCTTTTCAGCCCCTTGAGAACTTTCTTCAACAACAGCTTTCCCCTTTCCCTTATCCTGTCTTTCAACATTAGCCTCTGGAGGTGCGAACACTCTCCCACTTCTCGTCATTCCGCCTGTTCCCACCAAATTATCCACCGAATCAGACGTCGTTCCTTTCAGCTCTTGCTTTTGGCCGTTACAAAAGACTTCAGCCCCATAGTTCCACGGGATCGCCTTAGTGCTTTCGTAAGGTACATGCCCTGTCTTGGTGATTATGACGGTAACTGGCCTCCTTTTTAGTCCCTTATCTTTACCTCGGAATCCATTTTGGTCCTTTATCTTTAAAAAGTTCCAATTTGATCCTTTATCTTTTTAAAAGAACCACGTTAGTCCTTTCCGTTAGAACCGTTAGTCAAAGTCAAATTTATAGTCTATTTGGCATACACGTGGCTCTGTTGTGGCATATGCTCATTATTCATGGTCTATGTGGCGCGCTTATGTGGATCGCCTTAGTGCTTTCGTAAGGTACATGCCCTGTCTTGGTGATTATGACGGTAACTGGCCTCCTTTTTAGTCCCTTATCTTTACCTCGGAATCCATTTTGGTCCTTTATCTTTAAAAAGTTCCAATTTGATCCTTTATCTTTTTAAAAGAACCACGTTAGTCCTTTCCGTTAGAACCGTTAGTCAAAGTCAAATTTATAGTCTATTTGGCATACACGTGGCTCTGTTGTGGCATATGCTCATTATTCATGGTCTATGTGGCGCGCTTATGTGGATCTGCTATTAAAAATGTTATCAAAACATATGGGACACACCAAGAATCAAACCATGGTCTACTTTGTTACCAAACAAACTTCTTTGCCACTGCACCAATTCCATCTTAATGGATAGTTAGTTTTACAAATTAAATATATCATCATGTTCTAATGCATCCTGAACAATAATTTAAGACTATTATTATTTTTATTACTATTATTATTATTATTATTATTATTATTATTATTATTATTATTATTATTATTATTATGATTATTATTATTATTATTATTATTATTATTATTATTATTATTATTATTATTATTATTATTATTATTATTATTATTATTATTATTATTATGATTACTATTATTATTATTATTATTATTATTATTATTATTATTATTATTATTATTATTATCATTATTATTATTATTATTATTTTTCAAATCAGATATTATTATTATTATTATTTTTATTATTATTATTGTGATAGGTTTACAAATCAGATATTATTATTATTATTATTATTATTATTATTATTATTATTATTATTTTTATTATTATTATTATTATTATTATCATTATTATTATTATTATCATTATTATTATAATAATAATAATAATAATAATAATAATAATAATAATAATAATAATCATAATAATCATAATAATCATCATCATCATCATCATAAAAATAATAATAATAATAATAATAATAATAATAATAATAATAATAATAATAATAATGATAATGATAATAATAATAATAATAATAATAATAATAATAATAATAATAATAATAATAACAATAATAATAATAATAATAATAATAAAAACATACTTTTTAAAATAAAATAAGAATGACAGGGAGAGGGAAAGGGAGAGGGCGAGGGTGGCCGCCGAAGAATACGGTGCCTCCGCCATCAACAACCCCACCGGTGTCACCTGCACAACAACAATTAGAGCTGAGAAACCATCTGGCGAGCAACACTAGCTTAACTGAAGAAGGGATTCTGGAAGTTGAAACCCTAGATGCACGTACTAGAAAACCCAATCAAGAAGAAATGGAAACCGCCACTCAATCGATGGATGCAATACAAGCTGTGATACCTAAGCAACCTGAGAATGGAAAACCTATCCATGAAGGAGCATCTGAGGAAGGTCGCAAGCTATGGGTAGATGTACTGAAGGATAATCGAAATCCGACGAAGGGTAGGGCGATGAAATTCATCGCACCCCAAGTTGTGAATGGAAAATTGGAAGTTGTAATTGAAGACGAAGACATTATCTCTGAAGTTAAATTTTGGGAATCCTCCTTGATCCTATATACAATGGGAGTTGACCTTAGCATGAATGCAGTTAAGAATTTCATGACCAGGAACTGGAATTTTGTTCAATTGCCGGATATGTATTACAATGATGAAGGTTATTTTATTCTCCGATTCAAGTCCTTCAAGGATCGTGATGAAGTGCTATTGAGAGGACCATACATGATAAGAAACATCCCTCTGCTGATTCGAGAATGGAGGCCAGGTTTCAAGGTCAAAGATGAAATCCTGCGAACATTACCAATTTGGGTGAAATTGCCTCAAATACCCATCATTCTGTGGGGTGATACAAGTTTAAACAAGATAGGAAGTGCCCTGGGAAACCCCATCATGACAGACGAATGTACGGCAAACAGACTCAGAGTATCATATGCGCGCATACTTGTGGAAATGGACATTACAAAGGAACTGCCACAAATAATTACCATTGGGGATAATGAAGGAGATAAAATCCAACAACCTATTCAGTATGAATGGAGACCCCTGTTCTGCAGCAAGTGTCAAAAGGTTGGTCATAGCTGTGATAAACCCAAAGTCACACAACAATGGAAACCAAAACCTGCACCACAACATGTAGACAATGTGAAAATTGTGATGGACAACACTACTAAAAGGATTCCTAGGACTGAAGGAAACAACAACATTGTAGGAGACAAGGTTAATTCCCCTGCTGTGGAGAACAATGCTAAGGGAAATACATTAGGTGAGTGTCCCACTGATCTGGTGAGTAAGGCTGTTGATCCACCTCTAGAAAATGGAGTGAACATTATTGAGCAGGTTGAGGAAGTTATGGAGAAGTGGATAGAAGTCATAAGAAGTGGTAAGGATAGAGGTAAACCACAAGACAACACCAACAGTATAAATAAGATTGTTTGTGCCAACAGCTTTGAGTCTCAAAATACTGGCCAATGATTACATCTTGGAACGTGAGGGGGCTGAATAAAGTGGGGAAGTTAAAGGAGATTAGCTCCCGTCTCTTTAACCTTCACCCTAAGATTGCAATTTTACTAGAGACAAGAGTAAAGTATGACAAGGCGAGGAAAATCAGTGATCAGCTGAACCTCAAAGGCCAATACCATGACAATTACAATGAACATTACAATGGCAGAATTTGGATCAACTGGGATGAGAGAAAATATGATGTCAGAGTGATAAAATGCACTTCACAGATGATACACTGTGGTATCCATGATGTCAATGGAGTGTTCCAAACTTGGATGACAGCTATCTATGCAATGAATCAACTAGAGCAAAGAAAGAAACTGTGGTAAGAACTGAAACATATCTATGACAGTCAACAGGGTCCATGGTTCCTTATAGGCGATTTCAACAATGTTACCAAATCTATGGACAGAATTGGTGGTAACCTGGTGACTGACAGAGAGGTTGAAGATCTCAGAAATTTGATGAATCATGCTGGCTTGTATGAGAAGGATAGCACGGGCGACTATTTTACATGGACAAATAAACATTCTATAGGTACAATTTACTCAAAAATTGACCATGTTCTTGGTAATATAGATTGGCTGCAGGATAGTATGGATTTGAAGCTGGAAATTCTCCCTCCTAGTATCTCTGACCACTGCCTGTTAAGTTTGAATGCTGAGAAGATTAACAGAGGAGTGCACAAGAAATTCAGGTTTACTAATAGTGTGGTGCAAATACCAGAATATCATGACACTGTCAAACAGAGCTGGAATAAGGAAATCACAGGCAGACCTATGGCTAGACTGTGGTTTAAACTGCTGAGACTACAAGCTCCCCTTTGCAGATTGAGTAAATAAATTTCAAACCTCCATCAGACCATTGCCCAAGCAAGGAATGAATTATTACAAAACCAGGAAAGTCTCATTATGGATCGTATGAACACTGAGACTATTGAGAAAGTTAAAACCTGTACTGATAATTTGATCCAGCTTCAAGAATTTCAGGACCAAATGCTGAGACAGAGGACTAAGATTAATTGGCTTAGAGAAGGCGATACGAATTCATGATTCTTCTATGCTTACCTCAAATCCAGAACTACAACCACACATATCAACCAGCTTTATAGAGAGGATGGTACTTGTATACATAAACAGGAGGACATAGAAAGGGAGGTATGTGAGTTTTATGGGAAACTGATGGGCACCAAGGAATCCAGAATTAATATGATAGATATTGAAGTCATGAGGGAAGGGCCTCAACTGTCCATGGAACAAAGAGCTGATCTAATTTCACCAATATCTGTTGCTGAAATCACTAATGCATTAAAAGGGATAGGAGACCTCAAGAGCCCAGGTATTGACGGTTACGGTGGAAAATTTTTCAAAGCAAGCTGGGACATTGTTGATAAGGATGTTATTGGAGCTGTTACATAATTCTTTGAGCAGAATATGATTTATAAAGCTTTCAACGAAACTACCGTTACTCTTATTCCCAAACAGCCGGACGCCAAAACCTTGAAAGATTACAGGCCTATTGTTGGTTGCACCACAATTTACAAAATCATATCCAAGATTCTCACAACCAGACTTGGGAAGGTTTTGGGCAACATCATCAGTAAAGCGCAGGCGGCATTTGTTCCAGGCCAGAAAATCCATTCTCACATCTTACTAGCTATGGAGCTGTTAAAAGGTTATAACAGGAATACAGGTACCCCTAGATGCATGGTCCAACTAGATCTACAAAAAGCATATGACATGGTTGATTGGGGCGCTCTCGAAAATATTCTTAGTGAAGTTGGTTTACCTAAGAAATTTGTAGATTGGATTATGACCACTGTGACTACAGTTTCTTATCGCTTTAATATCAATGGCCAGTATACTGATAGGATCAATACTAGAAGAGGAATTAGGCAGGGGGACCCATTATCTCCTCTCCTGTTTGTAATCATCATGGAATATTTCAGCAGGTTACTTCTCAAGATGCAAAGGAATCCAGAGTTTAACCACCATGCTAAATGTGAAAGGCTGCAAATAACTCACTTAACCTTTGCTGATGACCTTTTGTTGTTCTCTAGAGGTGATCATGTGTCTGTGGAAATACTTTATTCAACTTTGAACAAATTCCTGTATTCTACAGGTTTGAAAATAAACCCTTCCAAGAGCAGGGTGTATTTTGGTAATGTACCTGCGAGTGTCAAGTGCGGAATCCTCCATCTAACTTCATACAAAGAAGGGTCTTTCCCTTTTAGGTATCTTGGTATCCAGTTGACGAGTAAGCGTCTTGCTGTGATCCATTACATGCCGCTGTTGGACAGATTACTTAGCCGGATAACTCACTGGAGCTCTAGATTGTTGAGTTATGCAGGTAGGCTGCAACTCATCAAGAGTGTGCTTTATGCTATCACAACCTATTGGATGCAATGCATTTGGTTTCCAAAAACGGTGATCAACAAAATCAATGCTATATGTCGCTCCTTTCTGTGGTCAGGTGGTAATAATATAAGCAGGAAAAGTCCAGTAGCGTGGGAAAATGTTTGTAAACCACATGTGCAAGGCGGACTAAATGTGATGAATTTGGAAGTGTGGAATAATATGTTTGTGATAAAACTTCTCTGGAATATCTATGCAAAATCTGATGATTTGTGGGTGCGTTGGATACATGCTTACTACTTGAGACATGAAGATATTCTGACTAGAATGGTTAAGGGATCTGACTCTGGAATTTTCAAAGCGATTCTAATACAAAGGGACAAGCTAATGACCATACAGAGTACATGGGATGCTATGCTGCAGATGGGTAAATTCCATGGGAGGAAAGTGTATCAAAGCCTCCTACCTATTACTCCTAATGTTCCATGGGCCAAATTAATCCTTCACAATAGAGCTAGACCCCGGGCAATTATTACTCTCTGGACGATCTGTCATGGAAAGCTAGCAACCAAGTCAAGACTGTTCAGATTTGGCATGATCAACAATAACAAATGTGCTTTTTGCAATGAAGAGGAAACCATTGATCACTTATTTTTTTGTTGTGTGGAATTGAAGCAAATATGGAGTGGTATTCTTAAGTGGTTGGGCATTCAACTCACTCCAAAAAGATGGCAAGAGGAAATGCAATGGGCTCTGAGCAATTATGGTGGGAAAGGCTGGCAATCTGATCTGGTTAGGCTTGCCCTTACAGAAACTCTTCATGAGATCTGGCTTTATAGAAACGAAGCATGTTTTAATCATAGAACTGATAATAGGAATTGCCTTGATAGAATTATTTACAATATAATGTATAGAGGGTGGACTAGTCCAAAGCTTAGACCACGTATAGCTAGGTTTATTTTGCCACGTATAACATTTTTAATAAGTAAATCCACATAAGCCCGCCACATAGACCATGAATAATGACTTTAATAAGCAAATCCACATAAGCGCGCCACATAGACCATGAATAATGTCAAGTCATCTGCCAGATAAACAAAATAAACGGAGGTTTGGGGGCAACGAATCTGACTAAAATGACACCATTTTAAAAGTTAAAGGACCAACTTGCCACTTTTTAAAGATAAAGGACCAAAATGGACCCCGAACTAAAGTTAAGGGACGAAAGAGAGTATTTTGCCTTAATGGTTCCGAATGAAATTGAGATTATGGAAACCTCATCCTACTCTTGACCAATCACCCTTTCAGCTTTTTCTTCACCAATTCTGTCAAATTGTAGTATGCCTTCATCCATTAATCTCTGCACATGGTTTTTCAAGTCCTCACATCCCTCAGGACACGCCAAACAACCTTCACAGCTTTCCAAATAGCCTGGAAACACTCCACCCTTCAACAGTCTGCTTTTAACAACACCCAAAGGAGTTTTTAGCTCTTCAACACTACTCACCAAATTCAAACTCTCTCCCTCCACAATAGCATTTACCCCTGCTGCCCCATGATTAGACATAGGATTTTACACAACATTGGGTGCATCATTTATAAAGTTGATAGCCTTGCTACCTATAAGGTCCTGAACCTTATGCTTGAAGGCCTTACAGTTATCTATGTTATGGCCGGGAGCACCCGAATGAAAGTCACATCTGGGATTTGCATCATACCCTAGGGGAGATGCGCTAGTCAGGGGTGCCAGCGTTCTCTTCTGAACTAACTGCAGTTGTATCAAATGTTGTAACAATTGTGAGTATGGCATTGGTAGTGCATCAAAATTTCTGTTCATCGTCCTCCTACGATCTTGGAACTGCCGCGGAGCGTAATTTTGCTGTTGTTGCTGTTGTGGACGTTGTTATTGTTGTTTTGGTTGTACTGTCGGACTAGCAATACTCGCAAACTGAGGTTGTTGTTGATGATATTGATTTTTGTTTCTATTTCTATTGTTACCCCTGTATCCTGAGACTGCGTTCGTCTCCCTTTCTCTTTTCTTGTTACCAAAATTCTTTCTACCTCCTCCAGATAAGGACCCCTCTCCCGCTTGGATCTTTCCCAACTTAATCCCATTTTCAACTCGTTCACCTGTAATGATTAAGTCTGAAAAACTACCAGACATATTGCCGACCAATTTCTCATAGTAGACACCAGGAAGTGTAGCTACAAATAGATTAATAAGTTCCCTCTCCACCATAGGAGGTTTAACCCTTGTAGCAAGTTCGCGCCACCTCTGGGCGTACTCCTTAAATCCTTCATTATTCCGTTGCGACAAATTCTGCAACTGCACACGGTTAGGTGCCAGATCACTATTATACTGATAGTGTCTGACGAAAGCTTCTGCCAAATCTTGCCAGCCTCTGATGTTCACTGGCTCTTAACCCATATACCATTCCAATGACGGACCAGACAGGCTATCTTCAAAGAAGTGCATCAGCAACTTCTCGTCATCAGAGTACGCAGACATTTTTCTGTAATATGAACGAAGATGCACCCTGGGACAGGTCGTCCCCTTATACTTATCAAAGTCTAGGACTTTGAACTTTGGTGGGATCCTTAAACCTGGGATCAGCCCCAAGTTTGACATGTCCAGACCAAGGGAGTTCTGGTTTTCAAGGTTCCTCATCTTTTCTTCTATCAGCTTAAACCTCATGTCTGCATCCGACTGCAGTCCTGCTTTCAGATCTCCCATGGAGAAAATATCATCTTGCTCGTCCTCCTCCCATTAAGGACCGGCGTTTCCATGTATATCACATGTTGGTGCGGGAGTATGGACTCCAGTCTGATTACCTCCGCCCGAGGGATAACAACTGTTGGAATGGCAGTGGCATGAGGAGTTCCATTGTCAGCTGTAGGAGGCACAAAAATAGTCCCTCCATGCAGAACCCCACTTCCGTCAACCCTAGCAATCAGAGGTTGAGCGAGTGTTCTTAGCTATTCCTGGCCATTGGCGACCCTCTGCATCAAGTCCATAAATTTTGCCATACGATCATGGAACTCCTGCAGCTCAAGTTGAATTTGGTCCATGGCTTTTTGCTGATTCCCCCTTGTTGAGTAGCGGTGGATGGTGCAGTCTTCAATCCTGAAACAACGCTGAGGAAACCACAAAAAGGAATAAGGCCAACAGAACCTGGAACACCTGCGATGCAATATGCAAAATGATGCAAAATGCAGACATGTAAATATGGTTCAGGGAAATCTTCCCCTTGATTCTAGTTCCACGGGAAAAATAGGAGAATAAAGAGCCAACAGATGGAGCCACACAACTTCTCTCATAAATAAAATGAGAAACAGAGTATCAACACACAATACATCACCATGGAAAATACACCTGAGTCAATACGACCTCATCCAACAATCTTGGTGATGGTCGGAGCATAAAACAATAAAATACAAAAGAGAAAATACATCAAGTACGACAGCGAGTCTGAAACTCCTCCAACAACTCCTTCGTATCAGGGTGATCAGGTCTAGCAATCAATCCCTGGATAAGCAACTCCCTCCTGCTGATGGTGGTCTGTAAGCCTTGAGCATAATCTTCCCAGGCACCTTCCCCAAATGCATCTTCAAGTTTAGGCCTCTTTAGATCTGCTCTCAACTTATACTCCTCCAACGTTGCAAGAGCTTCGCGTAGCTTGCGGCCACATTGGTAATGACTAGAAGACTCACCTGGATCTTTCTCATCTTTTACACGGAGTTGAGTCTTCAACTTGACAATCAGTTGACGAAGTCCATCTTCTCTTTCTTTGTTGTTAGTCAGGATAGCGTTCCATTGGGCGTTGAATTTTGATATCTCTAAATGTACTCTTTCCAGCTCTTTCTTCTTATCTTTGAGAATATCACTGGCACTTTTCAAGTATCATCCTACTCTCTCTCTCTCGGGCGCAAATCTCTTCTGTCAACTCTCTACCCATCTTGTTCATTATCTTTGTCTACTTCTTGGATAAATGGGTGGCCTGATTCTTTTCCTTTCTAAGCTGGATGATTTGCTCTTCCAACTCTTCGTTCACCTTGCGTAGTTCTTCTTTTTCAGCCCACAGTTGATTGTATTTCTGTACGTCAACTGTCGTTGGTTCTTCAACTACCAAGGGGTACAAAGGTTCTCTGATTGGAAAGGGTAGCAACAGTCTCTCAACTCTCTCTTGGACCCATTCCACATATGGTCCATAGGCTCTGCAATCGCTCTTGCCTAAAGAAGATTTTCCTTCACGGTGAAATTTACCCCAAGCCTTTTCCAATTTGATTAAAGTCTCAGCATCAATTGAACCGGTGAAATACAGAGATTCCTGTATTTCTTCTTCCTTCGGAGGTTCTCTCAGAGCGTAACCAAACTGTCTGACTGCGAGAGCAGGGTTATAATTAATGCCCCTTTTCTCCCAATCAAAGGAACATTGGGGAAACTACCACATCTATAGACAAACTCCACACCCAAAAGATCTCTGTTGAACCATACAATATTCTCAGAAGTTAGACCTATAAGTCTTTCTGACCAATCAGCAGTGTCAGAGATGTCAACAAAAGGACCAAACTTAGGCAGATGCAAAATAACCCATCTGTACAGGAGAGGTACACAGCAGGAAACATTCTTCCCTCTTCTGTTCTCATTCTTATAGTGGACAAAATGATAAATATCTCCTAAGAGTGTTGGAACAGGATTCTTGGAGGCAAATATGTGAAAGGCATCTAGGTCAACAAAATCAGGGATATTGGGAAATAATATTATGCCATAGATACAAAGAGCCAAAATGGCATTGAAGACAATCCAGCATCCTTCTTTTGCAAAATGTTGAGCTCTGCTCACCGAGAAAGGTAATGGGAATCCAGATACTCCATTCCTCCAACTCATATTTCCATCTAACTTAAAAACATCCAAGTGAAGAAAATTTACTAACTTTGTCAAGTTGGGCTCTGCCTCAGAATGGTAGAAAGGCATCTGTTCCAAAACTGGGATTCCTAGCAGCAAGGCAAATTCTTCCAAAGTAGGCATCAACACATATCCTGGGAAGGTGAAACATCGCAGCTGAGGATCATAGAACTGAAGCAAAGTATAAAGACCTCCTAACTCAAATAAAGAAGCTTTGCAGACATAACTCAAAATCTTCCCATAGTCTTTCTTGAAATCCTCCATCACACTGTGATCAACTGTAAAGTTCAAACTGAGCAAGGACCCTATATTTGGTGCTGGAAACTTGTACACTACTGTTCTCTTCAAGCTGGGCTTCATGCTAACGGTGGATTAGATTACTAGAATCAAGGAGAAAATGTGCACCTGAAACACAAATACATGTCAATGTTAAAATGCAAATGAGTATGCAAATGCAACAGGGGATCAAGATTCCTGTGCTGTTGACTGAGACAAACCAGCGCTTCGCTTTGGCGAGAAAATATCGGAACACCAAAGTAAAGGAACCTCATAACATCAGAGATCAAAGGTTCGCACTGACGAGAAAACCGGGTAGGTTGAGGGTCTAGTTTCCTCCACAACCCTCCCAACTCACAGGTATGAACCTATCTCTGACAAGGTATGGCATCCTATGCGGTAGTCAGTGTCACAGACTTTCGAGAAACGATGATACGTTCACCATTTCTGGTTTGGCATCATAGTCTAACGAAGCGGCCTCACTTAGCTGACTCCCAAATGATCGGTCCCCAGAGTCGACAATCCTCAGATCCAACATCCTCTCAACTGTCCGAAATTGACTGGAAAGGTAGCCATCAAATAGAATCTCGTCTGAGCGCGAATTTTGTGAGGACTAGTGCATATCTCCATACAGGTCCATCACTAATTTCAACTTCTAATGCCAAGGTTATACTCAAGCCTGGGTTTTGGCTTATCACACAATGGAACCATCCCACCCAATAGCACAACAATAACATGATATATTGCGGGAAAGTAAAATGCAAATGCGATAAAATACAGATACAACACAAATGCACACATATACACACCCAAAGAT